TAAGGATCATAATTTAAATGTTGGTATCTCGAGAGTGTAATTTCAGCTAATGGACAACTCATCAAACGAACGTAAAAGTTTTACGAGTTCAATATCATAGGAAAATAGCTTTTTGAAATTCATTCCCATTTTAACCTCATGCATCAGTGAATAAGTTTTTTAAAATTGAGAATTTATTACGCAATTAATACGTAACTTTAACAGTATAAATCCAAGTGATATTCAGATACCAATTAAAAATAAATCATGCATTCAAAATTTACATTTTTCTCACTAATTCAAATTTTTATCAAGTAATCTTCTTTACCGACTGTTCATCTAAATTTTTCTTTACTTCATTCCTGCATTACCGTTTAAGATAATTTCTACAGAGTCATGGGTTGAATAGATACCTGTTATACCATCGGTCGATAATTTAAAAGCTTTTTAAATGATGCTCAAGTAAAGTTCTTCCTCGACTACATTTGAAAAAGCACAAAATAATGATAGGAAAAAAAAAAATAAAGTTATCAGGTGCTGCTTTAAACCACTAGTCAAACAAGTAGAAAACAGTTTACAAAATTAGTTTAAATAATCGTTGATTAATTTATTTGAATTGTTGCACCATCAATAATGGTATGAGATTCAAATTTATGATGTCATGTTCCCTTTAATTCGATTCGGGTGTTTATTCTATTGATTTATCAACATTGTATAGACTGGGTAAGTAGATTGAACAATTGACATTGGCAAGAGGATGAATAATTGCAGTAATTCAAGAGAAATTTACACTTATTTGCATTTTATATCATGCTGAAAAGCATCATTTTTCTTCACTTTTGTTAAAAATATTCCTAATAAATTCATCACAATTTCGTTTTCTGTAAAAAATACAAATAAATGTGTGAAAATTAATGGGCTTGGTGATAAATCTACATGTGTCAGATAAAATAAAAAGTGAACTTGACGAACAATTCCATCAAATCGTGGAATATTTTTAATGAAAATTGAAACTACTAAAAGAACACTTAATCTTATAGGAAATTATTTTAACAAATAAAAAGAAAAATAACCACCAGTCTCTTTGGTATCAAGAACTGAATCCAATTTCACAATATTTTGAGCGAATAAATAATAATTACGACAATTTACTCGTGGACTTTTGAACTTTTTTGTATGTTGGCGATTTATAGGGAGAAATACATTGGATTTAGTAAATCTATGAATTTTATCATATAGCTTAGGCTCTAAGGTTTCTAAAACATCCCTGAATAAGATTTTTAGACTATTCGTTTATGAGTTATAGGGGTTTAAAGTCGAGGAGATGATGATTCGTAGTTTATATCCAGTTTTACCCCTTTTTGAAGGTGTTAAAGTCAATTTTTCCGGGCTGTACCCCGATTCCGCATTTCTACGCATCAAGACGAAGAGAATGAGTGGTCAAACTTGAAAATCGGACAACTTTGATTTTTCACCCCCAAAAAATGGCAAGTGGTACCCCTTTCCATTTTTTTTGGCCAAAAAAAAAAAAAGTTCTTCGATTTTGATGATTGAGGGCTCATTCTCTTCGTCTTGATGTGTAGAAATGCGGAATCGAGGCACCGATCAAGAAAATTCACTTTAACACCCTTAAAACCGGGTTACACTACATACAAAATACGAATTATCATCCCCTTGACTTTAAACCCCTATAACTCATGAACGGACGGTCCTATAACCGTTTTTAGGGACGTTTTGAAAACCTGAGAATCTGAGCTATCTAACAATATCCATAGATTTATTGAAAAAAATTTCTTTCACCCTTAAAATCACTAAAATATAAAAAAAAATCACATTTTTTTGAGAAGTTGCCAACTATTTTGGCAATTTTGAGGGTGAAATAAATTTTTTTAACACTTTTTATGGATATGTATCTCTAGCTTAGATTCTGAAGATTCTCAATACCTCTTAAAAATCATTATTCGATGACTTGTTCAAGAGTTATAGAGGTTCAAAGTTAAGTAAGGGTAGAAAATTTATCAACTCTTGAACTTTAAACCTCTATCACTCTTGAACAAGTCATCGAATAATGATTTTCAAGAGGTATTGAGAATCTTCAGAATCTAAGCTAGAGATACATATCCATAAAAAGTGTTAAAAAAATTTATTTCACCCTCAAAATTGCCAAAATAGTTGGCAACTTCTCAAAAAAATGTGATTTTTTTTTATATTTTAGTGATTTTAAGGGTGAAAGAAATTTTTTTCAATAAATCTATGGATATTGTTAGATAGCTCAGATTCTCAGGTTTTCAAAACGTCCCTAAAAACGGTTATAGGACCGTCCGTTCATGAGTTATAGGGGTTTAAAGTCAAGGGGATGATAATTCGTATTTTGTATGTAGTGTAACCCGGTTTTAAGGGTGTTAAAGTGAATTTTCTTGATCGGTGCCTCGATTCCGCATTTCTACACATCAAGACGAAGAGAATGAGCCCTCAATCATCAAAATCGAAGAACTTTTTTTTTTTTTGGCCAAAAAAAATGGAAAGGGGTACCACTTGCCATTTTTTGGGGGTGAAAAATCAAAGTTGTCCGATTTTCAAGTTTGACCACTCATTCTCTTCGTCTTGATGCGTAGAAATGCGGAATCGGGGTACAGCCCGGAAAAATTGACTTTAACACCCTCAAAAAGGGGTAAAACTGGATATAAACTACGAATCATCATCTCCTCGACTTTAAACCCCTATAACTCATAAACGAATAGTCTAAAAATTTCATTCAGGGATAATTCATTTATGAATAACAACGTAAACAATATTCCATGCATCTATTTAATGTAGAACAGCCAATAAAAATAGGTCGAATATGGAGGTCAGCAAGTGACATTCTGTAAAGTATCAAACAGTATCAAATATCACATGTAACACGTAGGCGAAACTCTACCCACAACAAAATTGATAGAAATAGTTCTACAAATCTGATCAAGCTGAAAACTCAGCCATACACCCTCCAGGTGCTAAAGACTATTGGAAAAAAAATCCTAGCTCTTGGTTTACCTTATTTACCATGAAATGACAGGCCATTTAAACTGGTTGGACCCTACCTAACCCTACTCCTTTCACTATCTTTATGAATTCATGTCTAATGGTATCATTCTCTGAACCATTATGAAACCGCTATAAAGCTGAATGCTATAAATACTTTGAAGAATTCCTCTATCTAATTGAAATAAACACCAGAAAAAAATTTAGACTAAATCAGAGGTGACACCTGATAGTAATTGTACCCTACACTATAGATATAATCTTGTTGAGTTATATAGCTTTGCAAATATCCATAAATTGCTAGAAATTTCACAGAGGTTCTTATCGACAGTCATAACTCTGTTTAAAATGATAATTTAGCTCTAAAAGCCATTGACGCAGCTTCCAGTAGGTCATTTGTGAGAGATTTAATCAAGAAAACTCGTTTTCTTTGATAACACCGTCATTTATTCTGCAGATCTTTCTTATTAGCATGGTCTATTATAATTTATTATGTCTACAGTGGTGTATAATGTACACGAAAGTACGATTTGATGACTATTAATAATCACCATGCCTGAGAGTTGTGCTATACTTGATATGATCAACGATTAAATCTTTAATGTTTAAGTATCTTTTATGTGGAAGGTTTGAACTAAGAATAACTAAAAAAAAAAGCTCTTTTTATATTCACGATTGTATCATTAAATTATTTATACAAACTTTTTTTCTCTCCTATAACTTATTTTATTAACTGCTTTTTATATTCATAACAATTAAATGATTGCATATTTTTCGTCGATAATTCAGGTGATTTTTATTTTATTTTCTAAAGAGATTTTCGTCTTTTCGCTTGCACATGAAAAACATTTAGTATACCTCAAAGTACTTCAACTCCACATATCGTTTCTATGATAATCCAACTTTATCCTTTAGAAATCTAGGAATAAGGCGTCACAATGGTATTCTCCTTTCTTTTCATGTCTCTTATCCATTGTCCACGATTTACGCCAGTATATTTTGTGACATTCAGTGGATGAGAACAAAAATCCTAAAATAGCTCGTATAATTTTTTTTTCTTTGTATTTACGCGTATTTCTATTTTTCGTTCAATAAAATGAGTATTGTTCTCGTGTTATAAAAATGGATCACGGTCAATTGGAACTTTTTATTATATTTTTAGAAAGAAAGGGAAAATTATATATATATATTTTCATTAAATATTGTTTCATTAGAAAATAATATCCGACAATGAACAAAAATTTATAGTTATAAGAACAATACCGTACCTTTTAGGTCAACTATCTTATTAGATAGCTGTAGGGATTATCAAGATAATTTGATTGACGATATCTGAAATAGTTGCTTTGAAAAAATACTTTTTGTAAGAAATTTGACTAACAAATTATACCATTCTGGCTGCAATGAATAGTATTTTTATCCAATTTTGTTATAAATATTTATTAATCAATTAATAATAAAATTATTTACTAATTAAATATTAATCACTAGATAGAAAAAAAGTCGTTGATTCTTTTTTGTGTAAAATGACATTTTGAATCATTTTTATTTAAAACTTTTTTTCCTGTTTATTATAAATTCAAAGACATTTCGATGGGGATGTTTTTTTATTATTTATCCCCCCCCCCTTTATAGATAGCAAAAATTCTAATTATCATTCTTAAATTCCCTAGAAAAATTGCTACACTTATAAATTTTTTACAGTGTGTTATAATTATTAATCAATAAATGATTTTTTTTCAAAATAATTTTATAAAAATTTTCCTTATTATTATTCTCTTATGTTATGTAATGCAATAAATAAAAATGTAAATATATGATAAAATAAGTTGATAATGATTAAACAGCCATAAATCGTAGTAGAAATAATATTATGAAAGTTTTATAATGTGCGAAGTAGCATCATATTTTTGTACTTACGAGATATGAAACACGTGAAATATATAACGTTGGTGATTATATATATAATATTTCATTCAAATTTTATTGCTATCTCGCAGGATACTCAGCAGCTGCATTGCTGGCAATAGTTTTCTGCATCCCTTTTGCCTTACGGGTGCTTATTCACAAGGAGACAGGAAGATGGAATAATTGGCCCCAAGCATTCTACCATGCACACTTGGAACTTTTTCTGGGCAACGGATGTTTAGGTAAAAAAAACAACAATACTTACAAAAAAAAAAGAATCAATCTTTATTTAAAAAATAAAATACCTTTTCTTCCAATATTATTTAATTTATAACAAAAAAATAAAAATTATTTCATCAATTTATTCAACTCCAAAATATTGAAATTCTGCAATGAATTTTTTAAATATTCTATCATAATTAAAATTGAATAATTAATAAAGTTAATGTATCAATTCTGGAATTAAATTATCTCAAATTAAATTTATATTCAAGCTTAATAATTAAATAAATATTTGATTGAATGAAAAAAAGGTCAATTGTTTTTTTATTTGCTATTAAATGGAAAGTAAATAATTAAATAACGTGAGAGAAGATGTAATAAAAATACAAATGTTAATATAATTGCAGTAATTTTATTGTTAACGAAATTCATCTATTATTTCAAAGGGGTAGGAGTTATGATGCTGTTGGCATTGACCGTAGAGCGTTACGTAAGCGTGTGTCATCCAGGACAGCATACACGTCCACTATGTGGACCACCTCATCTCACAGTCAGTTTGATACCCTTGGCAACCTTTCTCGTTTATCTGCCGAGTGTGTTTCGAGGTGAAATAACGACCTGTCTGCTGTCACCTGGTGGTCCTCTCATCTACCAAAAGCGTGATAACTTGTCCTTTCTGCATTCACTATTTTATCAAGTAAGTAAGTTTGTAAAATTTTAACAACAACAGAATTAATTGTTTCACATAGAATAGGTCCTTTCCTTTTTGTCTGATTAACTATAAAATAGAAAATTAATTAGCTATTGTTTTTGTAGATCTACAAAGTTGTATTAGAGGTTGTATTCAAAGTTGCACCAACAATACTACTTGCTGGATTCAACTTGCGAATAATGATTGTATATAGAAGATCATGTGAGAGAAGACGAAGAATGACATTGTCAAGAACAGTAAGCAATGGTGATGAAGATCCAAGAACATTTGCAGAAGAACGCAGACTTGTTTTATTGCTTGGAAGTACCAGCATTCTTTTCTTAGTTTGTGTCAGTCCAATGGTCATTTTAAATGTAACTTTGAGTGAAAGTAACTTGAGTCTTTATCCGTATCAAGTAAGTAAAAAGTTATTTTTATGAGTTTCAGTAGTGCTGCTTTATTGCAACTGTATACCAGTAGGGATCCAACTTAGCTTGATCAAACTAGGGTTTCTCTATGCTAGATATTGATTAAAATATTTCTGTAAGAATAACTATTCAATCTTCCATAAATAAAATTGAAGGAAAAGGTATCTCTACTTGAAATAATTAAATACATTTATTTATTTTTACTGTTTATAAGAAAAATTCAGAGTAAATAGTCTAAATTATATGATTGGAAGTTTTATTAATATTTATGGAAGGTTTGAAAAGATAAAAAGATATCTACTTCTTTGTGTTGAATATTTCTTCTTTAATGTGAATAAATAATACTACTAAAAGCCCATTAAACTTTTTACCTTTCAGGTGTTTCGTGCTCTTGCCAATTTACTGGAGATAATAAATTACTCGATAACATTTTATATTTACTGCCTCTTCTCTGAAGACTTTCGAAACACCCTTATTCGTACTCTCCAGTGGCCATGGGGTAAAGCCGCACGAGAAAACCGAAGAGTACCAATGAAAAGATCACCAATTCCGCGACCAACAACAACCACAACTCCACCAACTACTGCCGTTGCAACACCCGGACACGTAGCACGAGCTAGTGTCTAGTGATTTGCTAAATAAAAAGCTTTAAAGTAAAGAAATAATGGACTAAAATTGCCATTAAAGTGTATCAAATTGACTTATAAAAATCGCTATTTAGATAACGTACCTGTTTTATTTGTACGTAAATAAATTATACTCAAGACAAAGAAGCAAATATTTATACTTCATTCATTAAATAAGTGACATCAAGAAGTTCTGGTTTTCAGTCAAATGTTTTTCATAATTGATATATTATTGTTTAAAAAAAGAAACATTTTTTACCATCCATGAATATTTTATAACTTTTAGAAAAGTTAGGTATTGTTTTATTTCAACTAATTTTATTTAAAATTATTTTTATAAAAGAAATTTAACAATGTATATCTGCGTAGAATATCACAATATGCATCATACATATTTATGTGAGCATTTGATTGAGTTTTCTAACTGTAGGACAATAGAAAATTTCATGATAAAGCCTAAAAGTGGGTACTTTGTCAGTGGTTGGACAAAGGATACCCGCATTGAGTTTCATATTCCACTTCGCACTTTGCACGAGTTAAGTCATCGTAACCAAGGTAAGGAGAAGAGTAGGTTAGACTAAGGTTTAGCTATCTCTATATGCTTGGGTAATGGAACTTGGACACTAGTGGACTTTAATTAATCATTCGTTAGCAAAGTGCTTAAACTAAGTAACCATGTAGAGAGCAAGACTATATCATGCCCCGAAGACTATTCATCGTTCCATCTTTGCTCATATTCAGTGTTAAGTTTTTGACCATCAGTTCAAATTTTAAACAGCAATTACGTATTAAGGGAGCAATTTAGAGGAAGGAAATTTTACTGTTCTTTTTTTTTCTTTTGGTTGCTAACTGGTGCTATCAAATGAGTTTATTCAGGGCATGTTTCATCAACTTCAATCAACTTAATTGAAGGATAAACATATTTGGATGCTAAAAGTAGACTTGTTACAACGATCTCCAAGTCATTTTGTACATCAGAAAAAATATTAGATAAAAAAATGAAATAATTCCTACCAACAATATTTTCAATTCAAGTTTTAATCTTTAATAAAGTTAAATAGCTGGTCCAATCAAACTCGAGTCTTTTATTTCTTGGGACAGTTGACTATTAATACTTTATATAAGTAAATTTATGAATTATCTTTGATCTAATAGTAATTAATAAAGTTATCAAACAGACATTTTCATCGATTCATTCCTTGGAAAGAAGCCAAAATGTGGTTAATATCAGTCATAAGTCAATAAGCATATGTTTTTACATTTAAAAAATTTTCTATTCATCTTCCCAAGTTACTCAGTAATATTTGCCAATATATTCTCATTATTAAATTATATCTTTTCCATTACAAATAAATTTAAATTGGAAAAAAACAAAAAAATTCTAATACTTTTTTTTCTTTAATTTCAGATACTGATGTCAGATTGTGTATGGTGTTATGAATGTATTGAATAAGTTAACTATCAAAATGAAATGTAAATTTTGTGACAGGTGTTACCAACGTCTACCAAAAAAATTTATTAAACCATAGTCGTTGGCATGGAATTATTTTTTCTTCTTTAAATCTGACGTTTAATCATGAAATAGTGTAGTGACGAAACAGTTGGTAGTAAGAGACTTGATGTAATAACGCAGCGAGGAAGAGAATAAAAAAAAGTGATAAGAAGTGAATGAGTTGTACCGTCACTTCTAAGTCTGGTCAACGGATGTAGGAAGTTTCGGGAGGTCGAGGTTGAGGGGTGTAATAGGAAGCGCACGATGAGTGGGCGTTGGTGGGTCGATACAGGGTGGATTTGCCAGCATCTGCAGGGAGACCCCTCGAGGGAATGAGGACGCCCGTTCAACTCTTTTATGTTGGCCCTTCATATCATCCCTCTGCAATTACATCTGTATTGCGTTTAACGACACACTTTCGATGTCATGGCCATTCGTTGATGCTTTTTATTTCGAAATTTCACCCTCTTCATTTTTATTGTTTACAATTTTCAATCTTGGAATTCTTCAGTCAATTGCTACAGATTTTTAATTGGTCGTTTGTACACTGAGATGGAAATTCACTTGAAATTTGAAGATTTCACTAATTAATTGCATTCTTCAATACGTGGAATCAGCTAGGAGTTATCAAGAATAAATGATTGATATGAGTTTTCAAGCAGAATCTATTAAATTTTCAGATTTTTTTATTTACAAACCAAATGTTGTTAATAACAACCAGTAAATTCTTGTTTATTTTAATTAAAAAATATATTTACATAATTTTTCAGTTGAATGGGTGTATCTTGAAGGAAATTCAGGGAACATTTTCCAGGAAGAAAATTAGAAATAATTCAGGAATATATTTAGCGTTATTTTTGTACCATGGAGTTTTGTTTTTTTTTAACAAAAAATCTTTAGTGTTAACGAAAAACAATGAGATACTATTTTACTTCTTTTTTACAGTGACTTTGTAGGACATAAATGTAAATTAGAAGCTGAAAAAACATCTTGAAGTACAGCACTTGGAGTTGGAAAATGTTTCTTCAGGATTTTTATATAAACAATTCTATTGAACTTTTTAGTCATTTGAATTTCAATTATCTTAACCCATTTCGAAATGTAATACTGAATGATATTCCTTCAAAATAATTCACCATATCAAATGAATAAATAAAATTGACTGTTCATGGTTGGACCATTATCAGAAGTTATACCAGCAACTATGAGGAAACCATCAAAAACCCTAGAATGAAGATCAAGTGAGTCATGAAAATAATATAATTAAGTGATTAAATTCCATTGGATGAAATATTAATATGGGTAGGAATACGATTTCCAACTCATGAAAAAGAGAAATGCTTTTTATCAAAAAGATTGCTTCAAGAGAAATATGAGACCACAATACTGGAATAACTATGAAAGCTTTATGACCCTGATCCTTCATTTTATATTTTTTCCTTCTACTCTATTATATCCTTAGTTTTATCAGTATAATTGGATCGTGAAAACGAACAAGTTAAAAAAAACTATTGTCAAAGTACCATGCACGTTCTTCAATTCCTTCAACTTTTTCAAGATTCACCAGTCTATTTTCTCCATCAATGACGTTTAACAAATATTTCAGCAAGCTTAATGCGAATTATAAACTTCGCCTCCATCATTATCTGAAATGAAGCGTAATAATAACATGGTTAGTTAAAAAGAAATAAATAAATATTTTATGCAATAAATAATAAATAAATCAGAGCTTTCAAGATGGATATATATGAGGGTGATAGAGTATGACAGCAATCAAATAACCGGATGTAAATTTTCTTGCGTGCTTACAGAGGGTTGTTAGCTACTTGTACGAGTGCGATGTCGTGTCCTCTAGCAGCAGCTATTTTTCGAAAATGTTTCCGGTCACGTTTCTTGTGGCTGCATCCTACACGAAAGAGTTTATTGCCATGCCTGCTAGTGACAAGAATGCAAATGGTTTTCACTGAGTACATTAGAAAAATATCAATTTATAAATGAATAAAGAGGAAAAAAAAAAAAATTATTTTCAACTAATCAATAACAATCATCTATCAGACTCTATTTCAAGAATTCTATTTATATTTCAATGAAATGCTAATTTTAAAATGAGGAAGAATCTTTTGAGTTGTTTTTATTTATTATAAATAAACAAAGTAAATAATGTTGGAAAACCTAATGATTTACCAATATTAACAATAGAATTATTAAAACAAAACTATTATTAATACAAAAAGAATTTACTGACAATTAAAATAAAATTATTAAACTTTCTAATTCTTACTAAAATTTTCTAAATTTCTAACTTTATGACTTTTTCAAAGAAATGCAATAAAACTACAATCACTGACTTAACGCCCAAATTTCCCAACTTTCCACGTTGGAACCTTTGCCCTACCATCCACCATAGTACCTAATGCACACCATGCACTGATATAAATACGATCATCATTCTTCACTAGTTAGATCAGTTACAATTCTTCCTTCGACAAGTCTATACTAAATCTCTGTTAAAAATTATCTTCCTTTAAACCTATATCCAATATTAAATAACGAATAATATTAGTTAGAATACAATTGTTTTGTAAATTGAAAATTACTTAAATAAATCTCGTTGGAATACAACAATAATAAAAAAAAAGATTGGGAGGACAATTAAAAATGATTTTAATTGATTCAATGATCATTGTTATGAGGATATTTAAGGAATATTAATAAAATATTGTTATAAATAATTTGATGTGATTAAATAATTGTCTATTTTTTATAATAATTTGTTATAAACAAAAAAATTACAGATCTCAATAAATGGGAAGTTCTTTGTCAAGTAAAGCCAGATCCATTTTTCGATAGAAGTTGTTGTTGATAAATAAGGAATGAATTTGAAAAAGACTTGGTGTATCAAACGAACAAATAAAGATAGTAGCTCACAAAAAGAATAATAAGGTAATGGAGAATTTTTGACACATAAAAATGTGTAGGCGGATATATATAATATATTTTATATGTTGTAGTTTTATTAATGTCATAAATATAACGGAAAATTGTGAGTGCATGGCGCCACAGTGTCTCATATTCTTTCCTGCTGCTCTTACACCCTTTGATCATTTATTTTTCGTCCTTTTTTAAATAATACCCACCAACAAGCTCTTGTTATCAGGTCACCAATAACGACAGTTGGGTTTCATCAGAAGCAATTTACGTGGCAATTAGTTCACTCATTTAGTAGATAGTGTCATCGGAATCGGAAGTTGAAATCATCTAACAATGTATGAAGGTATTTGAATGTCGTCATTTCGAGAGATGAAATCTGTTCTCATTAATATTTTGTAACGATTTGGATTTTTTTTCTTTTTTTCTTTTTTTTTTGTTACACTCAACATTTTCAATCAGTACTTTCAATCAGCAGTAAAAAGTACATTTCTTTGGCTACGGTACATCAATAAATTGTCATGCTTGTATACATTTCACTCAAATATTTATATCTACGTAAATTTGAGATACGTTTTTTTATCTTATCTTATCTCATAAATTATTCGGAAGGATATTGTGAATATAATAAAATGATACAATTTTATCACATTAAAGATACGGAAAATTATTGTTATCATGAAATTATTGAATATTTATTATGATTTCTTAGGAAAAAAAAAATATATTTTAAAGTTTTGTACAGAATAATTGATTAGATTTTTCATCAATTTGACAATGATCTTTAATAAAAAAATTTATCCAAAGCTATTGTTATATCAATTAAAATAAAATATGGATTCAAAAATTTATTATCAATCATTGAATTTATTTTAAGAAATATTTTGTACTGTATTTAATTAATTAATATTATGTTTAAGAATGCTATAGATGAAATCCACTATCCAACCTATTTCACTAGGTGTAGGCTAAAAGGAAGTCATCTTTTTGATGTCTTTTTAATAATTAGTATCATTCTAAAAACAAAAGGCTATATTATAACCTGATTATTAACATTTATTACAAGCTAGATATATCACCTTTTTTAACAAAGTCCAAATTACAGGAAAATAAGATCCACTGGAAAGAGATATGAAAAATTGCTGATTAATTTTTGGTGGTCTATGAAACATGAAATGTAAATGAACAAACTGGCAAGTTGAGAATTCAATACTCCAACAATTAATTAAATCTGAAACAATCCTTTATTGGATCAATTCATAACCAACAATTTATTACAGATTGATTCCCCTAAGAGTTCTTTCCTTTTGTTTCAATTCAATAAGTCTTTTCTCGTTTAGAATCACCAAAACAATATCATGCTCCATTGTGAATTGTTTTTCAATTTTGAAGTAAATGAAAGGACTGTTTATTGCTAGTTTGATTTAGAGAATGATAGAAACAGGTCATAGCATTGAAGATGATTGATAAATATGACCAGCAGATACCATATCATACCAATACCTGTATTATTGATCAATGTTAATTTTAGGGACCCTGTAATATCTCAGTTATTGATAAATATTACTTTCCAAAGCCATACAATACCCGCATTGTTGATAAATATCACCTGTCCTAGTGTTCATACACATTAAGATGAATTTGATGATAGCAAACAATCACATGTGGTTCAAAGTTATACCAAAATGCATAAACGTGCTTCAAATGTTGCTAGACATTAAGCTCTTGGTTGATGATAAATCTGGCAAGAAACTTGACAGGAAGAGAAGATGAAGAACGATTTTAGAGATATATAAGTTTCTTTATGGATCAAAAATTTAATTAATGAAGTAACGAACCAAGTGAGTGTGTCAAGACTTTGCAAATAAATCAGGAGAGTAATAGTTGGAGCAAGTTACTTCAATATCGCTCGAAATGGTAATTAAATTACCTACAATACGTTTCTGGTTGATCAGAGATAAGCTGAAATATCTAATAAGCGTGTTAACCTTGTTGTTCTCTTATAATTCTATCTGAAGGTTACATGATTGTAATCACTCAATTACCTAGGTCAATAGTTAGAATAGATCTGATTGTATAGAATTGTACATTCATGGGTTTAAGATAGTTCTGACTGGAGGCAGTCATACGATCAGAGGTAGGATCTGATCATGCATGTCATCATATTGATTTTAGCTTGAGCTAAGATATTTTCAAATGCAATTTTAGGAACCAAGAACACTCCATTTTTAACTTGAAGGTTTAGGAAATAATCTTATCTACTGGAAAAAGCTTCGTGGAGTTTTCTTCCATGAAATTCTTCCAAGAGGATTTTTTCAGTGTATTTAAAATCTCTATTTCAAAAATTCCATGCCCTTTTCAAGAATGCAGAATGAATATAAATATATGAAGTAGTTTTGTGGAAGTTTAAGCACTCAACATCTTTGTAAAAAAGAATTTTGTGAATCTTTTTTGCTGTTCAATAAATAACAATGTTTAATATTAATTCTAGAAATTTATTGACGTTTAAGTCATGTTAGATGTTTGAATAATACGATATTATGTAAATGACAGAGTTTTGATTACCTTTAGGTGGATTATAATCCTACAAGGGATCAAATCCTTTGCGTGTAACTAATTAATATAGTCAAACTTAAATATAGTCATGAGCTGTGATGACGTGTCAACTCAAATGGTAAAAGTTTTTTGAAAATATGTCCACTTCATTGCCAACTTTTCTGTATTTTTAGTCATCTAGTGCTTCCAGTATGAAATTTTATCATCCTGATACATTCAATGTATTTCATTCTAAAAATAACATTTCATCAATAAAGAAAAGGCATAAATAAATAAAAAAATAAATAAATAAATAAAATTGTTATTTATAAAAAAAAGATAAAACATTTTTATCAAAATGTGAAAATTGAATTTAATTGATTTCCTTTTAAATTTAAATTCTTGTTTACAATGGACTCAATATTTTTTATAATACGATGTTTCAATAAAGGCTTTTAAGGTCCTCAATGCTTATTAATATCAATAACATATTTCATTGAAGTAAAAATTGATTGAAAAATATTATGAGTTATCAATTTTGGAACCCCGTTCTTTAATGTGATTTTCCTAGGGATGAATAAAAAATAAATGAACTTTAGACTTGAAAATTACGTCGTAAAAATGTTTAGAGTTGTCTTAGGAAATAAGTATAACAACATATTGTAAATGTACAAGTGTAAAGGCAACTTAAAGTAGGAGTTATAATGCATTTGTGCTATTTTATATCTATTATGACATATCTAGGACACTTTCGATCGTTTATTTTTAACGACTCTTTCTCTCTTCTTTGTTTAGTTCTAACGACACTTGTTAAAATAACCCTTAACACAACAATATGTACTCTCACATAGTTATTGGGATTATATTAGAAAGATTTTAAAAGATACGGTTCTAAGATAAGTAAGACGCTTATATGATACCAGTTATCAACACACTCATTAATGTCCCACAACAAGAAGATATCAGTAAAATCACAGATGATAATGACTCTAAAATCCACCCTCGAATTACTATTTCGACGACACGGAGCTTAAGGAGTGAATCTCGACCATGTTAAATCGAGTGCGGGTCGATCGAAGCGACCTTGGACAATTTCATCTGTTTATTCAAGGACCATTGCCGTTGAATTCAGAGAAATAAATATTTTAATTCTAAAAGCTTTTTTTTATTCGATTGAGAGTACAAAGAAGTGTGTACAAGACGGATTAAAAGAAATATAGAAGAGGAGAAAAAAGGGGAAAAAAGAATTGATTTTTACCTTTTTTATGATTCTGTGAATTTTAAATTCATTTTCTATACAAATACATGGAGTAAATTTTGCCGTAAAATAATTCCTAAATCGGGTAAAAAAATTTACCCTGCAGTAGATTGATGGTGGAACACGATGATCGTGGGTACAGAGTAATTTTTTACTCCAAAGTGATTTTTACCCTGCATAAGGGGTAAAACTACGACATGTCAGGGGTAAATATTATTACACAGAAGTAAAACTGCCATTTTGTCTCAAAGTAAATTTATTTGTAGGGTAAATTTCATACCATATTTCGGGGTAATTTTTACTTGAAAATTTTCTTCGTGTAATTGATAACATTTTTTTACCCATACACAAAAAGAATGCGAAATTAAAGTGTATATAATTATCTAGACCAAAGAATTATTTAATAATAAATTATAACAACAAAACGATTTTTGTTTGAAGAAGTTTATCGAATAAATTCTTGATTTGTTTTAAAAGAAAAGTTCACTCTTAAACTTCTTAAGAATTCCAAGATTGACTATCTCCATTTAAATATTATTAATAAATAATATTTTTTTTATTATATTTAATAAAATCATCAATTATTAGGAATGCAATAAAAAAAAACGCAAATTACGAGAATTCAGTACCACTAACGGCAACTGCACTATAAAAAACATAATTATGATTATTTAACGTGAAGAAAATTAAATATTGTCAGCACATCAAATTAGATTGAACAAAGATACGTAACGAGTAACTGGCGTGCAACTAATTGGAAAAATTTCTACCATAGTTTATGTTATACATTACATATAATTGAACACATTATTCACAAAAAAACAATTTTTACTCCTTCACAAACTGAATTTGCTAATTTTATAAATACACTTGCAAAAGAAATAAATAAAATATAAGATAATTGATACACTTATGACAATGGTGTTAATCTACCAGCTATATTAAAGCAATTAAACTAATATCATCACAAGAAGAAGATTATCATAAAGTTAATCAATCATATTAAACACATTTACAGACACCTAAATGTTATGTGTTAAATTTTCATTAGTTCGTATTTGTCTGACCACATCGGTTAAGTAGTTATATTAAAATATGTCTTTCATGTGGGGTTGCATGAAATGTGAAAGCGCGTGCGCTTCTCTCCACAAGACTCTCTCTTACTCACTCGTTTTGTTCGTAAAGCTCTTTCTCTTCAACTACCATCCGAATGCTCACTCGATTTCGCATACATACAGCCAGTCTGACGCCGGAGACCGCAACGTCATGACGAACTTAGTCTTATATCCTTTTCTTACACTATCGTATTCTCTTCTTTACTTCAACTAACATTCAATCAGTTTTGTGTAAATAATAAACATTATCTTATGAATGAAAAAAACCTCTTTCATTTATCAACATCTCATCTAGACAGTGATTATTATTTTTTTCAGTGATTATCACTTGGTAATACACACGTGTTCTACCATTTAACTATCGTTTAAGAAATTATTTTTTCATGTGAAAATACTTGCAGTGTTTATTTGAGTGCCGCGTATTTTTTATTCAGATCCATTCTTCCATTCCACTGGGTTTTTATCCAATCAAGATCTCCAACGTCAATATCTACTTTCATTAATTGCTAGATATTTATTTCAAATTTTTCCAGCTTTGATTTATTTTTTTTTTTTTTTTCGTTTGTTGATTTAATAATTAGAGTATTTTAATTGATAATAGTTAAAGTGAAATCAATGGTATTTAGTTGAATGGAGAATGAAATAAATAAATATTTTTTAGAGTAAAAAATGTCACACCCCCATCGAGGCCATTCGAGCTCCCGGTAATGGGCCAAGGGCGAGAAATTTGGTGCACGCGGTAGTACCAATCGTTTTAACTCTCGTTTCTATCCCCCTGATACTATTAAAGATTTATTTATCTCTTCCACCTCTTTCCTGTCGAAAAAGACTACATGGACACTCTGCGATGTGTAGTGGTCGTTAAAAAGGTACCAAAATTTCGACTGTCTCTTTGTGAACAATAAATATTAACTGACTGGTAATTTTAGTATGGTAGTTGACTCTTGATTGCAATCGACCGAATGAAATCATTTTTTTATGTCTCAATAAAATCCGATTAAAAATAGTTTGTGTGGAAAAAAAAAAAAATCTTAAAAAAAAGTGTTGTAATAAATTACTTGCTAGGCTATTTAATGGGGTAAAGTAGACAGTCGTGGTTGACAAAATGCTGATAAAAGGTCTAGCTGATTTATCACACTTTGATGGAGCATTCTTTTTGAATTTTAAAGGTTAATGTTTGTTAGGGTTGATTAGTTGGATTTTTTTTTATAGAAGTAAATATGTAAAATTATTGAAATGTCAAATTTTCTTTCTTGAGATTTTCTTTTAATACAAAATTCACTACAAATTTTACATTAAGAAGTGTTTTAAATGATTAATAAAAAATAATTTCTATTAATTCAATAAATTAAATCAATAAATCCGACATAATTAATTAATTAATGAATATGCAAAAAACTAATGTATATATTTAATAAAAAAATATTAATTTTATTTCAAAGGAGCCAGGGTATTTTTTTAATAATTCAACAAATTCAAATATATTAATGAGTAAAGCTCCAGGGTTATCTGAAAGTCATTAAAAGTATCATCTGTTTTAAATCACTAACAATTTATTTAAAAATTGTTATTTAAATTTTTCTAAGAGCTTTTCTTTCTAATATTTGTCCTAAAAGTACACTCATTTGATAATAATTTTTTTTTTTAAAGAACTTGGATGGTTTTATTTTGTTACTCAACTTTCTATTAGACTTAGACATATAGAGCGAAAAAAAATAACCAAAGATAGTTTGATAAAAAAAAATAAATAATTATTCGTGCAATTCAAATACTCGAAGTTGTTTAACAATCTAGTATTCTAAACCATGACTATCCACAGAACAAAACGAATTCTTTTAGAACGTAGATGAGAAAATTCTAGTCGTTTATTACATTTTTAAGTATCATTATTTCTAAACTATTTCTTAATTAAATGTAGAGTTAAATTTATTTATAAATAAAATATATCGATATTATAAATCATCTGATTGTTATCTTGTTTAAAACAAAATTAACACAAATTTATCATTATCCTAACTGTTGCACATTAATAATATTTAACGTAAATAATTGTAATTGATTTAATTAAATTTATAACGACAACTTTATTTAATCTCATTTGGATTGCTGACAGGATAATGATATCAAGTTTGTTTGAAAATAACATTAAATTTTTTTAATAAAATTGAAGATAAATAAGTATTAGCATATTCTAAAGGAAGATATTTCCTTCATAATGAAAATGTTTTCTGGCAAGCATACAGGAAAAATGAATAAAAAATTATTTTTGGTTATTTTCTTTATCTAATGGATTCCTTTTCAAAATTTTATTCGAAGAAATTTAATAACAATAAAAATAAACGAGTACTTGCATCTTAGAGAAAGGGAAATTTCCGGTCTCAAACACTTCAATTGGATCGAATTGAACTCACAAGAATGTAAGGAAGAAGGAATTAGAATAAAAAGTAATAAATTTACTGTCAATATGTAGTGGTAAACAATGAAAATTTCAAAAGTTATCTCTGAATATTTGCGTCTGTATATTTCACTTCAGTAATTTATGATAAATTTCTGTCAACGGATATTAAAAAAGTTTCTTCATTCTCAAATTATTTTTGTTTCCTTCTCCACTTAATGACATTAAAATAGGCCATTTCTGTGCTTGGTCAAACAATACTTAGTTTAATTGCAAAGTAACTGGTAATATTTTTCATTAGAACATGAATTTACTATAAACTTTATTTAATAGAATAAAAAATGTGCGTTTTAAGTCTTTTGTATACAACCCCTACGAATTTTTCGACCTTTTATTTCAAAATTACGTAAAGTGGGGGATAAGAGCACGTATCGTACACGGAAACTTTCCGACATTTTACGACAAAGTTTTAGACTTTTTCTCGCCTTTCCGTATATCGGCAAAACTTGTCGAATCTCTAGATATAAAATGTCTCTCTCTTCTCAAGATATTTTTAAATTACTTCAAGTTTATTTAATGTAAATATTTCCAGCTATTTTTATCTTCTGTAATATGACGAGTAATTTTTCCATTTGAATTACATCAGATAGAAAGAATTCAACTGAAAACGATAGACAGTGATAAAAATTTATTGCGAACATAAACTATTTTTATGAAACGATACAAAATTGACTTGTTTCAGAAGTGAGATTTTTGGATAAACATAAGATAAAGTGAAAATAAATTGTGTAAAAAAGAAACAAAGTTTATGAATCGTGGAGGAAGTAAGATAAAAGGGGAAATTTATTGAACATTTAGTGTAAACGATTGTGATTGAGTTTTATGGATAATTTGTTGACTAAAAAATGTTTAAGAAAAAGTAAATCAGTTAAATAAAAGAATTGTACGACGCAAATTACCTTGGTCAGACGGAACAAGTCGACGTTGATTAGGAAGGAAGGATAAAAGAAGTTGTAAAAAAGAAGACTGCCTTGTAAAAATGGGAAAGAAAAATAGTAAACTCAAACAAGATACTATAGATCGTTTAACTACTGATACGTATTGTAAGTATCAATGTTAAATTTATATTCATAATCATTATTATCTACTGAGAAAAATTATTTTATAAAAAAATTTTACACTGAGAAAAAAAATTTGAAATAAAATATAATAATAATTAACAACAATTATAAATTAATAATTAATTATTACACTGATAGAAAGGATTTTTAATACTTACAAAATGATTTTTTAACCGACAGAATTTTTTTTTAACTGTAAACAAGTATTAGGATCGTAATGTTTAACTGTAAAATATTAAATAAGCAATGGTTATAAAAAAATTACTTGTTTGATAGTAAAAAAAGTCTTAGTTTATCGTGAAGAGAAATTTTTACTGCACCAAAATCTTCTTCAACAGTTGAGAAATCTCTACTGTCAGTGTAATTATTATTAATATTTAATTAATTAAATATTTTTAGATGCTAATAAATATGCTTCTTTACATGCTTAAATTTGTCTCATCATTAATATAATTTATTTTTTGAAATCTTGAGCTACAATTTTTTAAAATTTATCATTCCAAGTAACCATCAGAAATGAATCTTTAAATATATTTCATAGCAGGTATTTAACCTTTTTAATTTTTTATTAAAAAAAAAATATTACTTGTTCACAGTAGATTTTTTCTCAGTGTATAATTAATAATAAAACTCCTTTTTTTAGAACTATATCACATAAATTCATTTTTAAAATTCCCTGATGGTAAAATAGTTTTTGAAACAATTCCTAATTTGTTTAACCCAGATTTTATTTTTACCTTATCACCTAAAAATAAAAGAACAAAAATATATAATTAACACCACAGAAACTGTCTACAACAATTCATGGCAACAATTTCGATAATAATAAATCACTTTGGTATGGTTGAAATAATTTTATAAAAATGACAAACATTTTAAAAAGCTATTTAAAACAGATGTTGAAATCAAAACAAGAATTCATAACTTTTAGAGTGTTATCCATTCTCGTGGATGGATTGATAGACAAAGTTCTGAAGCTCATTTATATGAGTAAAAATTTATTCAATTATACATTACGATTATTTATTTCATCCCGCGTATCATGAAAAACAAAAGATGTATTGTTGTTGCATTCAACGTGTTTTTAGCTTTAAATGTCAGCATACATCAATATATATTTTTCATCGAAATTCACTTATGGAAATTTTATAACAAGAACCCTTCACAATAAGTTATTCATACACTCAGATTAATTTATTGATTGCATTTTCTTGTCACTTTTTTTCTGTTTTTCATTTACTCTGATTTCAAATTAATATCATACTGAAGAATTGAGATACAGTGGCTTCCAAAAGTTAGTTAAAATATTAAGGCCGGCTTGTACTAACCTCAAATCACCTCAAATTGTTTTTCGCCAATTATAAAATATTCATTCATTTCTTCCACGTGAAAGTTGTTAATACGTATTTAAAAAAGTGGCATACAGGGTGGAAAACAAAGTTTCATACAACAAGTGCAGTAATTATTGCATAATAAATTGTTTTCTATTGGCCAGCTGATGACAAATACATCCGCCATGACACCACAGAATTTTGTAGATGCATGTTTATTTTCTTTTTTTTGTTTTTAACCGTCATAAATTAATTATATCAATAATATTCACGTCTTTCATCTTAGAATACAAATTCAGCTTTCAATTAAGACCTGAATTGAGATAAAACATCTATTTTTGACGATTTAATCTGCCAAAAACTTTTGCTAGATATTTTGTCTAACTTTGGGAAAGCACTGTACATCAATATGAAAAATTTGATTGCTATTAGATGCAGTTCAATTAGCAAATACGTTAGACATAGATCAAGTTGAATAAATATCAATTAAAACAACCCTGCCTGCTACATTGAAAAATTTTTATTCTGACTCAGTCTAACGATTTTTGTTCATAGAAACATGGAAACTTTTCATTTTTGCAAATTGCTAATTTGATCTACTGGTTGGAAAATTTGTACCTTCTCTAATAGAAAAATTTCTAGAATTATCAATCACATTTTAATAATATACTTTGATGATATTGCTTATCTTTTTTTGCTATTCTTTGTTCAAGTTTAATTATCACTTACATAAATTATTAATGACAAAGAGTTTTTTAACTGACCTTTTATTAAAACTATAAATATTATTGCATGAAATTTTTAATAAAAAATGATTGATTACGCTGATTCAAAATGTATCTCTATTTCCTTGGAATACACAAATATTAATTTTCTTCCTTTTTTGCGACCGCAAAAGGTTTACGAGTGACAGACCAGAAGTAAAAATTTATAGCAAGAATGAAGCCTTGAAGTTTGTTCCTTCCAAATAATGTAAACCCATTTGGCATTCCGATAGAAAAAAAAACTTTATCAGCATAAATTTTTTTTTTGTCATGAAAAAGTTTGTAAGCTATATATATTTGACTTTTGCTTGCACATATGTGACACTCAATATAGTTTTCAACTTCACAAAAGGTGCAGCATGCAGAAAATACATAAAGTTGAAAATAATAATTGAATATAATAAAAGAAACTGAACAAATTGTATGAAATATATAAAATACATAAAATAATATAGAAAACATTTGTGAATAAACTTAGTAACATAAAGACATCAATAATAATAATAATAATAATAATGTAAGTAATTTAATATAATTTTATCAGTTGGCAAAGTTTAACAGATGCATCATGAGCACCAACATGAATACCCATGTTATAAAAATCATTGTTCGTATGCACGTAGGATTACCAAAAAAGGGATAAAATGAAAATAGATTGTTCTCAAGGACAAAGAAAGAATAAAAGCAAAAAAAAAACGAATAAAAGATATTTTCTACGATCGTTGTTTGACCTGAGCCAAGTGAAATCGAACAAAATGTACTCGGACGTGAATGGAAAAAATTTGGATGTAAAATTGAAGCATAAACGTCCTTGACTGGCAACAGAAAAACAATATTCTCCAAGAAACCTAAGAAATAATAAATGATGAATGAAAAATCAAACAAACAATCAAAATAAATACAAACATGAGAAATGAATTCTTATCGCTGTGGTAAAAACAAGTACTGTATTATTTATTATCCTGAATCCTAACTGTTTTCCTGTTTTAAAACTGAACTTTCCTAACCTCAAATCACCTCAAATTTTTCTTGTGGTACTACAAGATTTTTGTTAGCTTTTTTTATGTAAAAAATATTTATAAATATTGAAAAAAGTGGCATTATTCTAAATACTCCTAAATATTTTTTAAATAAAAAAACTTAATAAAGAATGCACGGTTTGACGAAAAAAATTGAGGTGATTTAAGGTTAAGTAAAGACCAGCTTTAATTCAATAAACTTTTGTGTATGAGGATTTAGTATTGCTTCAAATAGCAAATTTTGGCTGTGATTTTCTATCATTTTGTTCGAGTTTGCAGAATAGATGTAACATCTGTGATAACTCACACCATTCTAGTGATACATATTGTGGTATAACTTTGGAATAGTATTATAAATTTAAATAAAATCTATTTTTATTATTTCATTTATCTATCAACTATTTTATTTAGTTAAAATAATCATTTACGTGCTATAATAAAATTTTCAAATATTTTAAAAATATATTTTTATAAAGCAAATTTATTTATATATATTTCTCTACACTCTGTGTAATTAATTAATCAATAACACTGGCCAACACAGATTCTCAGTACAATTTCAATTATTTTTCCTTTTATAACATAATTCTAAAATAAAGACTATTAAAAAAATAAGAAGGAAATTAATAAATAATGAGGGGAAAAATTATACATTATTCTGACTAAGAAGAAGTAATTAAGTATAAAATTATAATAATTTTTATCAGAAACCTATTAAACTTTGTATTTATTATAATGAGGAAATATTTTAAATAACAATGACGTGATAAATGATTAAAATTATAATCATTAACATTAACTAAATATCTCATTAAAGTTCTCCAATTAATTTTCTCGCGCTCGTTTTTTGCTGTTATCTAATGTTTTTATCTTTATTTTATCTTAGGATATTCTCATAATTCAAGCAAACGAATTAGCTGCAATCCATAAGAGTTAATAGCGAGGATGAGAAATAAAAAATCTAAACCACAAAAATAAATTGTTATGCTGTTGTATAATGTGTATAAAATTATTTCTTTCTCAATTTTCCAACAGTCGAGCAGGAAAATAAATGAATAATATTAAAGAATAGAGCATTTTTATTCCTTCTATATTCTTGCATTAAAAAATTTGGATATTTTATCCTGACAAAAAAAGGCTTCCTTTTGTACAAGCAGTACCTACGTGGTAGAATTATACCGTTATTTCGTACCTACAGCTGGATTACATGAAAATCCGACAGCTATGAGAACGTTAGTTCATTTCTTGGTTGATTTTATACATACGATATTTCATGACATGAGTCTAACGTATATATATATACTCATGTTTCCGCGTTTTATTATTCATCCTCTTCACTTTGTACAGTTGACTGTAAACTGTTCAAACTTGTCGAGACTTACTCGCACCGATCAATGAGTACTGCCATATACATTTATTTGTCTTTTTCTTTGTTATACGCTATCTGTCCTTCGTAGTAATAAGCAACACAAACTTGGAAAATTATTAATTTAGTACTGAGAATCAAGTAATTTGCAAAAGTATTATTATGGGTACACTCAACACAGCAGGTTCTTTCATGCTCACTAATGATACAAATTAAGCAGAAATATATTCGAGAGGGTATTAACTTTATGAATGATCTTATTTTCTCTTTTTGATATGTAATATAGAAAATGAAGTACTTCAAGGAAGAACTTGATGATATTATTATTATTTTTAGTATCCACATATTTATTTGAGATAAAAAATTATCCCAAAATATGGCATAAAATTTACCCTGCAGTAGAGTAAAAATGGGACACAATAATCGTGATAGATTTTTTACTGCAGAATAGAGTAATTTTTACCCCTGCATAAAGATAAAAATTAAACTTTTGAAGTATCAG